CGCGGGCCCCCCGCCCCGACGCCCCCGGCCACCATGGACGCCGCGGCCTACGAGGAAGGCTTGGCCCGCCTGAAGATCCGGGCGTTGGAGAAGCTGGAGGTGGACAAGAGGCAGGAGAAGCTGACGGAGGAGGTGGAGCAGAAGATCGCCTCGCAGGTGGGCCGGCTGCAGGTGGAGCTGGAGCGAAAGAGCTCGGAGCTGGAGAAGGCCAAGCAGGAGAGCCTGCGGCTCAGCCGGGAGAAGCAGGAGCTGGAGGACCGGGCGTCCGAGCTCTCCCGCCAGGTGGACGTCAGCGTGGAAATGTTGGCTTCCCTCAAGCAGGACCTGGTGCAGAAGGAGCAGGAGCTGACCCGCAAGCAGCAGTGAGTCCTTTGCCCACTCTCTGGACTGCTGGGTGGGGGGAAACGGGTCCCTGACAGCGAGGTCCCAACACCATCACCGAACCCTCAGACCAAGTGCTAGGGCACAACGCTTAACTCGTCAGGTTTTGCATCTTCTCCCATGCAGGCAGTAGACCTGAGCTGCTTCCACGTAGACCTGAGCCTCTCCATGTCCAAGCTGGGTCACATCATGTCAGAACTCGTCCCAGAGCCCTCAGGACATGGGAGTGACACAGCCATCCTGCTGTGCTGCCAAGGAACATGGTGGTGACCATGTTTCTGCAGCCCAACCCTAGTGCCGAGGGGTGTCCCTCAAAATCAGGACTGGAACATCCCCTCTGGCTCCAAAGCTAAATCATCCAACCTACCAAACCTATTCATCTGTTCCGTGGTCATTAACCCAAGAGAAGCCATCTTGGCCATGCCTAATCCAGGGGTTTTCTCCTAGAAAGAGAGTGGGAAGTATGACCTCCATCTCCTGTTAGGACCATGGCACTATCATCCTCATTTTCATCCCACGTTCCCCACTCAACTCCCACTTCCCACCCCAAAACTGCTCTTGGATCTCCCTCTGGTCAAGCACTGGGTTGTTTCACCAGTCGGTGTCACTCAAGCAAAATAGACCTTGTTCTTCAGGAGTTTCTTAGCAAAGCTGGAGGCCACCACGGGGTCCAGAAAGTCAGTGAGGAGTAGGACAATGGGGAAAAGTCACAGTTCTGCTGGGCTGGGAGCACTGGTGGGATTCTTCCAGGGTGAGGAGGGAAAACTTTAAACTGGAAGAGGAGAGATTTAGGTGAGACATGAGGAGGAAATTCTTTGCTGTGAGGGTGGTGAGACCCTGGCCCAGGTTGCCCAGAGAAGCTGTGGCTGCCCCATCCCTGGCAGTGTTGAAGGGCAGGTTGGATGGGGCTTGGAGCAACCTGGGCTGGTGGGAGGTGTCCCTGCCCATGCAGGGGGGTTGGAACTGGATGATCTGTAAGGCCTCTTACAACCCAAACCATTCAGTGATTCTAGGGGAACCCTCCTGGTTGCTGATTCTCCCCACCAATCCACATGCTCCTCAAGCCAGAGCAACAAAATCACTTCCCAGGTTGCAGAGGAAGCACGTGAAGAGCTGATGAAAAGAGGAGGTTTCTTTCCTAGGTGTGGGGGAACCACTGATCATTTCCACTGGCAAAGCCAGCTTCTCCCTTCCCCAACAACAAACCGTTGCTGGGGACATTTCCCAGCCCTGTCAGCTCCACAGCACCCCAGGGGCCCTGTCTCTGTGAAAGACTTTTTACTCCTGGGCTCCTTTTGCATTCCTGAGGGTGTTTTTCCACCCGATCCACCGGAATGCGAGAAGTGCTGGTGATAACCATCAGCATCACCTGACACCCACCCTGCCACAGCCCCATTTGCCTTCCAAATCTCCCAGATGTCCCAGCCAGGAGCTTTCCCAGAGCATCCCCAGGGAGCTCTGAGGTCATCCTGCAGATGGCAGTTGGGGGGCAATTAAGTGGCAATTAAATGGCAATTAATGAGCAGCAAAGGGAATTACGGCACTAAGTGCTGCCACCTGCTTCTGTTGTGCTCCTGGGCAGAGAGGTGTGGCCAGATGTGCACGGTCAGGTGTGCAAAATCAGGTGTGCATGGTCAGGTGTGCAAGGTCAGGTGTGAATGGCCAGGTGTGCATGGTCAGGTATGCACTGTAAGGTGTGTATGGCCAGCAGTGCACAGCCAGGTGTGCATGCTCAGGTGTGCAAGGTCAGGTGTGAACGGTCAGGTGTGCAAGGTCAGGTGTGCACAGCTGGGTGTGCATGGTCAGGTGTGCACAATCAGGTGTGTATGGCCAGCAATGCACAGCCAGGTGTGCATGGTCAGGTGTGCACAGCCAGGTGTGCATGCTCAGGTGTGCAAGGTCAGGTGTGCATGGTTAGGTGTGCACGGTGGGGTGTGCACAGTCAGGTGTGCATGGTTGAGTGTGCGAGGTTGGGTGTGTGCAGGGTATGCATGGTTAGTGTGCTTGGGTGTGCAGCATTTGGTACACGTGGTCAGGTGTGTGTGTTTGGGTGTGCACCGCTGGGTGTGCACAGCCAGGTGTGTGTGGTTGGGTGTGCATGGTCAGGTGTGCACACTGGGGTGCTTGCAGGGTGTGCACTGCTGGGTGTGCGTGGCTCCACCCCAGAGCTGGCCATGTTTTGGGGGTGGCTTCTCAGGGGGTGACCCCGGCCCACGCATGCACAGCTCCCCAGTGCCTGCTAATTAGTGAGTTAATGAAGCAGCTGGGGCCCTGTAGCTGCTGCGGTTAATGGAGCCTGGGGTGAGTGGTGGCCCGAGGACTCCACGCCTGCTCTGAAGGTCTTTCCTTTAAGCCTGCCCTGAGTGAGGCAGGTAGCACTGCCAACCTCCTCCATCATCCCACCGCACCATCATCACCCTGCTCCCTCTGCTCCACCGTGCTCGGGGGCCTGACTCCAGTTCTGGGAGCAGTGGACATCCCAGTGTATGGAAGCATCCACCTTGGATGCCAGGAGCATCGCTTGGTCCCTGCTCTGCACTGCACCAAGCCCAGGAGCCACCTGAGCTGGCACAGACCCACATGGGGCTGGGCATGCAATGGTCTGGATGCACGTGAGCACCCTTGAGCTCCCACCCCTGGTCACAGACAGGCATAGAGGGGCTTAACAAGGATGGGTGGGAAGGGACTGGGGTGTCAACCATAGAATCATGGAATAGGTTTGGTTGGAAAAGACCTTTTAGATCATCAAGTCCAACCGTTCCCCCAGCCCTGCCAAGGCTGCCCCATGTCCCTCAGCACCACATCTACAGGGCTTTGAAACCCCTCCAGGGATGGGGACTCCCCCCTGGGCAGCCTGGGCCAGGGCCTGACAGCCCTTTAGGGGGAAGAAATTGCCCCTCATACCCCCATCTCGACACCGCGTGGTGAAACCTGCCCTCCCTCCGCACAGGGAGGTGCTGCAGATCGACCAGTTCCTGAAGGAGACGGCAGCCCGGGAGGCCAACGCCAAGGTCCGGCTGCAGCACTTCATCGAGGAGCTCCTGGACCGGGCTGACCGGGCCGAGAAGCAGCTCCAGATCATCAGCAGCAGCTGTGGCACAACCCCCAACGGCAGCCTGGGGCGCTGCGGGACCCCGGGGGGCAAGGCCGCCGGGCGACTGGTACCGCTGCGGGCACAGGCACGGGCACCCTGCTGGCTCCGGGCTGGTGCCCGCGTGGCTCTGATGGTTGCCAAGGGTCGAGCGGGGAGGTGTAAGGACCCTCCTCTCGTTCCCTGTGAAGTGGGTAACCCAAGGGGGGTGGGATTCCCAAGGAGAAGTTGCTTCTCGGTGGGTCCGCGTTTCCGAGGCGATGCTGGAGATGCTCTTCTGCATCCTGCGGGGTTGTGGCTTCCTCCCAAAACGCAGCTGGTGCTGGGTGGGATGTTGGGCTCACCTCCCTCA